TGCAAAGCCGTACGTTTGCAAACTCTAGGTTTACTTAAGCCATGATTGAACGCTAGGTTTACCTACATCATGCCCTCTCTTGATTTCGCCGGACCTGCGTGATCCGTCGTTCCAAAAGGGAAACTCGTGATCCGCACGATCCGCCGATCTCGTCCCTCTCACTGTGATCCGCGGCAAAACAGGTCGTCCAAAGGCAGAGAACCACTAGTAGCGTCCATGTTACTAGTAGTAAGAATGCTCTGTTCGTAGCGATAGCCCCTAATAGCGTCCTTGATACTAATAGCTTCTTGTTACTACTAGTAAGGCACCTGTTACTAGTAGCGATGCACTTGTTTCTACTAGCGTCTTTGTTCCTAGGCAGAGAACCACTCCGACATCTCCTTCGCCTCAAAGGACCTGCGTGGCACGGGGGGGATCTCGGCGCTTCGGGCGGATTTGGGGCGCCGGGCTTGTGGCGGTTGGCCCCGTGAGGTTGGTGTGGATCAGTTGACCTAGAACTTCGGAGTTTTCAACTCGACCAAAAGACTTTGAGTTGGTGTGGATTCCGTCAGTGCAGCCCGTGGCTCCACCTCTTTAGGGGACCCTGCTCAGAGTTTGCCAGATCAGTTGCATGACTTGCCAGAGGAGTTGCTCAGAGTTGCCAAAAAGCGGGTTTTGAAGGAGATTGGCTTGAAAGAGAATCGGCTTGAAAGGGCGAGGAATTTGTGTAGGCTCCGTCCGCTCAGTCCGCAGACTCCGTTCCACCGTACCAACCGGTGTCTCTTCGGTCCTTGACCGGAGAACACCTTCGGTCCCCTGGCGGCTCGGAGGTGTTCGAACCAAAACCACCCGGCCGGTTCGGTGGGCGCGGGCAGGATGGCATGTTTGGCGCGGGCCTCTACTTCGCAGAAGCTTCTTCGAAGTCGGAACCTGGCCATGAAAGAACACAGACCGAAGAATTGGAGCATAGGCGTCGGTGTCCTTTTCGGTGTTGGCTCAATCAAGTCGACGTGGACCGGCTGTCGACAGCCGGTCCACATTCATAACAGCTGGTCATGACAGCGTCATCAACCTCTCAGAGAACCTGGGTGTGAGGTTCCAGTCAACGGAGCTCCCTCCTGAGTACCAGTCAAACCTGAAAACCACGAAAAGAAATCTTTTTGAAAAAAAGAAATCTTTTCCGGAAATAGTTTTCTTTCTCCGGGTTCTCCGGGTTAGTCCGGGTATTCCTTTCTTAGTCCGGTTTTTCTTTTCTTGGTCCGGTTTTTCTTTTCTTTTCACTGTTTTCTATTAGTAGGTGGTGTCTGACCCCTACCGGATGTTGAAACACTCCCATGGCAACCCTGGCCCTCGTGCATGTTTTTCCACCAGGTTCACTGTGGTCAAGTCCGCCACAACCGCCATAGAGACGTCAAGTATACATCCAACATCCTGTGGATGGTTGACTTTGGTGAAACACGTCGGCTGTATCGGGCAAGTTGCCCCACAAAGCCCTCATCCATCTGGCAGTTGTCACACATCGGCGACTCCTGCCAGGTCAACTTCCTTGCATCCAGCTCCATGTTACGGAAGGTGTGCACAAGCATGTGGAATTTCGAATGTAGAGGGAAGCGGGGCTCACCACGTTCAAGAGATTCTGTCGCCAATGCCCTGTAGCCTCTGCAGGCACACAGCCCATCAGCAGCAATGCCAGCGGCTTCATCGTCTCGGAGCCAAGCGCCAGCGCCATACAGCTTGCGCATGCAAGAGTTTATGCTTTTTGCCACAAGCAATATCAAGGCAAGGCGCCTGTCAAGCAGCACCAGCTCCGCGCGATCAGGCTGCATCAAAGCACTTTCAAGGAATTCCTCAGCAATTGAACTCGGGACGCACTTACCAACCAAAACCGCGGAACAAAGAACATGCATGGATACGAGATCAAAGAACAAGCGTCGCACAGCAAAGTTGTCGTTGAACCCTTCTGCCAACCTCCCTCAGGCCAATTCAAAAACGCTGTGTAGCCACAGATCTCCTTTGTCAGTTTGCTCAAAGGAGGCTTGACTTTCTTGAGGCGGCAAAAGGCTCTCCACGAACACGTCATGCCAGCAAAGCCATCGTGCACAGATTCTTCATTCCAAAGGCTGCGGACTATGATGAACGCTGAAGACAAGAAATACCGGCCGTGGCCGAGATGCCAATTATGCCAGATGTCGGGGCGGTACAGTTTCTCTGGTGAGCCATGTGGAGCCGGGAGCAAGGCAGTAAAAGGCTGCAGAGAATCCCATGGTGCAGAAGCCGCCGCGCTGCCTTCTGTGCGGGCCCAGCGCGGGTTTGCTCCACAGTCACTGAAAGGATAGTTTTTTTTGCCCAGCCAGGCACCAATGGCAAATCCCATGTCCACCCTCAGTATGTCCAGCTTTTGGGGCACGCCTGAAATGACGATTGAGATCGGCGGCAGCTATCAAAAATGGCCAATCTCCTTTGACGGAAGTGCATGCCAAGCGCAGCTTGCGGCCACCTGGTAGGTCAATGCCTTGTGTAAGGGCCCGATGCAGGTCTTCCGCAATGATTTTCATGGCATCGGGGAGGACCGCGTCATCCTCTTCATAAGTCTCCTTGAGGGCAGCCAGGCACAGGAACCTTGTCATTTCTGGGTTTCCCAGCATGTTGAGCTTCATGCTCTCTCCTTGCACCCGCTTGCTCCGCAATACTGACTTGCTTGTGCCAGCACCCAAGATGGGCTGAAAGTTCAGCAGCATGGTGGGCATCTTCTTCTTGCCTGGTCTCCGCAAAATCGAGCCACAAAACACAGGTCCAAGCACAGAAATCATGCGTTGATATAACACTTGCAGTTGCCAAGAGGCTCCGCCCTTCATCGCCATGGATTTTGATTGGAACGCAGCTCGAGAGGTGCTCCGGAGGGACATGGGAGAACACGTCATGGTCAGCACCAAATTGGAGCTTGAAGCGCCTCCAATACTCTTCTAAAACACACGCGCTGGAGTCCAGAGTTGTGTCCGGGAGGAGTAAGGCCAGCCGGTTCCTCTGGGTCAAAGCCAAAACGAAGTCACTTGGCAGAATCATTGGGTGTTCTCTGGCTTGGCCCAAGCTCACATATGAAATTTTCATCGACACTTTCAACGCAGCATCTTTCAAGGCGGCAAAGACGTCTCTCGCCTGGGATTCACCATCCAAGTAACCAAGTATTAAGTCACACAGGCGCCCATGTTCGCATTTGTAACCAAGGGGCAGAATGTGCAGCTCCAGCCCGAGCCAAGCGCTGCAAGGTGCGGTCCTTCCGCGCAAAGCCGTTGGCTGCATCATCATCTAAGATAGCTTGTGCGCGCTCTGCAACTTGCACTGCCGGCGCCTTGGGCGATGTGCGAAGCAATACTGCTGCCCTTTGACAAAAATTGACAAGTATACAGGGCGGTTGGATCACTGCGTGCAAGTTTCTCCACGGGCGAGGCTGCGAGCCAAACTTTGCACCGTAGCACTAGGGATCACTTCAGCGCGCTCCCGCCGCAGGCGCTTTTTGCAAGGTTGTTCGCCCAGCAAACCTGGCCAGGTGAAGGTCTGGTTACTGATGCCTGCCTTCCATTGCCAAAGTAAGGAATATATGGGAGGTAGATGTGCGTTATATGTCACACCGTCTTTTTCTTTCGGAACGTTTCTGTGCATCCTCAAGACCCCAGATGCAAGGTTCTGGTCACAGGGCTGAGACTGTCAGCGTCCAATTGCTACAAGCTGCATGTGGCTCGGTTTGCAAAGGGTTTTAATATATGCTGCAGTCTTCTACGGCCCGTGTTGCGCCCAACGATTGGAGCGCACGCCCGCTGCTTCAGCAGGAAGACGCAAAAAGCCATCGTAGCAAAACCCTCGTCTCAGGCTCTCAGGCGGCTGCTTTAGCCTTTGCTTTGCTCTTCACCTTTGCCTTTGCCTTCGGGGCTCCCTTCTGTGCACCTTGGGCGTCGTCAAGGGCTTCATCACCGGGAGGATCCGCGTCGGCCTTGCGCTTGTTGCTCTTCACTTCTGCCGCCAGCAACCTATACACATGTTCCTTCGCCATGATTGCCACGCACCTGAGTCAAAATGCGACATAGCGAGCAAAAAAAAGTCGGCAAACCGGACACGGAAAAGGCTGCCAGCGGCCAAGCGGAAAAGGCTGCGGAACAAGC